AAAATCCAACGTTAGGTTTGTACATTATTTCATCATGGTATGATCTTGAACTTACATATCTTAAAAGCTACTTTTATGTATGTGCTTTTCAGACACATTTGTTCAGTGGAGCCCTTAAAACATGGACCTATCACTAAAATATATATGAACCTAATTAGTGATGTAGGTTATTGATTAGTGATGTAGTTGATTGTTACTCCTCCAAGATGAGTTGCCTACCAGATCAGACTTGATTAGGTGTGCAATTGGAAAGTTCTGTTATTTGGATCATAGTGAGGCCACAGAATTATTGTAACAACCACCCCTTTGCTGGCTCATGACTACACACGTTATTTTGTTGTATGAAATTTCAAAACGCGAGCATGAGGGAAGACTGTTATTACTTAATATTCCCCAACCAGATATCTTAATGTTGTTTTTAAATTTGTTTCAATGTAATTGGTTGTTCTTTAATCTGTATCAAGGTAAATGGGTGTAGATGAGATTTGTGTCTACTTTACATGATTTTCTTGAAAAAACAAGTAGTGTAATTTAGTTCTGTTAGGAGGGAGAAGTTTCTATCCCTGAATTATCATAATTGTATATGCTATTGATTTTCTGCCTCAGATTACCTCCCCTTATTAACTCATCGTTTAACATTAGTGAATGAACATATTGGTTATAATGAACATTAGTCAACGTTATCATAATTGTATGTGCTAGTGAAAGTTTGGTTCTTAAACTAAGTAACATATTGGTTATAATGTCTATGCATATAGCTACATGCAGTCAGAGGCGGAGCGAGAAGTCCTGAACCCAGACACTTTAGCTCAAACAATATAATGTGCTAAATGTTTTATTAAATACTTTTAATATTAAATATAGAATTTAGTTATTAACACTTAAAGTCGTTCTAAAATTAGAAATTTTGGTTCCGCCTCTGCACATATTTTACCATTCTAATCTAAATTGATCTTCCATGTTGTCAAGTACGAGTTAAGCAGCAGTTATAAAATCCATTGCTTACCATGAGTTAGGTTTAGTACCAAAATATCTCTGTTATCGCTGCATTTAGTTGATCGACAGTACATTTTCAAATGAAACGTTTTTCATTGGACACATTACAATAGTATAACATGTCTAGCGAACTCTTAACCACCAAACGCATTACACGATACATATTCACATGCGCTTTTGCAAAATCTATTTCATTATTACTATTATATAAGAGAGGATAAGCAGGCACGTGATGGTCAACATGCCTGCTTCATCTAAGGGTATTTAAGATATTTACCATATAATTGGACAATATGATTGGTCGATAAAGAATCTTACTGTAGCCGCTTCAGAAATAATTTTGTGTTTGGACTATTTTACCCTTCTGCTTTGGACTGAGTTACGCCGGTTTTTTTCCTTACCTATCGTTAGACTTTTGCTTAGCGTCAAAAGCTAATCTACCATCTAAATGCCAAGTGGCACTTTAATAATTGGATGAGCTTTCCAATTTTTTAGCTGTGCTTTTTTCATACATTGTCTCTGATTCTCAATTAGCAAAAAAAAAACTTTGGAAAATGTGCCCTTACACCATCATCAGCAAAGGACCTCATTAGATTAACATCCAAAAGATTAAAAACTAAACTCTAGATACTCCTCACTATGTAGATTTATTCCACTATTGCTCATGGGACTATAAAAAAGTTTTATTTTAGGGATCGTTTGATCCACACAAAAATTTTCCAAATTATACTACGAGGATTATAACACAAGAATTAAATAATAAGAAGATTATTTAGTGATAAATTTTTTATAATAGATGCTAAGTTTCATTGAAATATCAACGTATAATTTAAATGTGGTTGCTTTTATACTAGATAAACTTGAAAAACCTTTTAACTCAAATTTTCACCTTCACTTTTTAAGGCTTCCTTGAAACATGTGGTCATTTGCAGTAACTATATTACATTCTCTGGCCATGTGAGTTGCCTGAGCTTCATTTATGTTTTTCAGTTTAATTAGTAAGCAAATAACTTCCTGCTATGTTCCAGTGCTAGGATTTGTATTATAAAAATATTCAAACGACAAAGAAAATTCACAGTAGCTGCTATGGAGTTCTCTACCTGTTTTGAATATGGAAAAACTTAAAATGCTTGTCCTGTTACATATGTTCCTTCAGCCTCCAATTGTTTGAGGATGAATCGTAAAATTCAATGAAGAAATGCACATATCCATTGATTTGCTTAAAAATAAATTTTTTAAGTCCCAAAATGAAGATATAAGAGATTACTTAGTTAAATTATTCTTATATTAATGCTAATTATATGTGTCAAAATCATAAATGGTACTATTCTAAACAGAAGATAGAATTGTCGGAGAACTTATGCACAACTGTTTTAAATAAATATATACAAGTTAAGCAAAAATTTACTCATGTTATTTCGTGATAGACTCTCATACAAGAGTTCATTTATAAAAAATTCAAATGTTTAGCATACTCAGAGCCACATCCAAGATTTAAAGCGAGTTATGAATCTTTAAAGTTGTTAGAGTTCTAAAATAATATTTTATACATATCCAATAAATTAATACCGTTATGATTTAGTAACCGAAAAAGCGAGATTCCCGCAACGGCCCGAAGATCACCGCATAAATTTCGGAACGGATTAGTCCTTGGCGGTTAAACAGCTGCCCAATATGATTCCCTATTATAATTAGAAGTGTACCTTATTTAGGACTCCCCTATTATATAAATGGGAGCCCATTCATTTGTAACACACTATTCATTGACAAGAGAATACACATTTGTCACTTTCTTGCTTGTTGTTCATTAGAGTTGCCTTATAATTTATTGTTCTTCTTAACCCACCACATACATCCTTAAAATCACAATATAAGTTTAATTATTACTCGAATTTTAGGGTAAACAAATCCATAATGAAATTCTAGCTCTGCCGCCAGACATACTGCTATTGGGCCCGTGCATAGCGCGGGCTATCCATATACTAGCCTATACTATAAATGGGGATAACCAGACAGCTTATGGTCAACATTTTTGCCTGGCATAGGGACATTTTTGAAATTTCATAGTTTATATGCTTTCAAGATATTGTACTTGTTACCTTTATTACTTGCACACACTTGATAAGTTTGTTGGAAGTGTAGGGTCCACCTCACCTTTCCATGCCACTTAATTGTTACTACCGTGTTCTAAACTGCCACTTATTGTTCAAGTAGGCCCCTCTCTGGGTGTTTGAATGTAACACTTTGGGGTCATTTGATGAGGTATAAGTAGATATAGAGTTGGTATAAAATTTTAATATCATCTTAGTACTTTGTTTGGCTAGCAAATTTGGTATAAGTTATTCTGGAATTAAAATTAGTACCGGAATAACTTATACCTTGTAGGGGGTGGGGCAATTAGTGTCGAGATAACTTATACCTTCTTCTTAGAAATTATGCAATTGTCATTTTTAATACAACATATCAAACAGTGGATAAAAAATAATACTAGGATAACTAATCCCAACATAACTTATCCCACCATAAGCCTTATTCAAACCAAACGACCCGTACGAAAGCTTTATTTTTTTTACAAAAATATAAAAAAAATTCATACGAAATTTAAAAAAAAAATAAAAGAAAAGAAAAAAGACCAAATTTAATGCTCAATTGTTCTATGCGCGTACATCTTACCTTTTAGACTAAAGAACTAGCCTTCTGTTGATGGATTTGTCTTCTCTTTTGAGTATTTATTAGTTGGATAACAAAAAGGAAATCAGGATGGTAAAGTTCAAAAATCAAAGTTTAAGAGAATATGGTAGGAGTAAAATGTTTTGAATATCCCAAAAAAAGACTAGAAATATGCGCAACAAAATTCCAAAACAAGACTAGAAATATGCACAGAAAATTTCCATGGCTAATAAGTGGTACTTTATATGCTATTAATCTCATAAATTTCACACACAAAGAATATACTTTAATTGATCTATATTAACTTAAATTGTATAGTTAATATTTGTACAGATAATTAGTGGGACACCTATGCTCTCAAAAGTTCTCTTTTTAAACGTAAATTTCTTCTCATCATGCAAATTTTAAGAGTTTTGTTTCCTATAAAGTAGTAGTAGTAGTATTATGAAATGTCATAATCAATAACTGAAGCTAAATCATCTAACTTTAGTATATGCATCTCTATAATCTTATATAAATAACATTAAAATCCTTCTTTGAATAAACAATTTTTCTGAGTAAAATAGAGTTCAATTTGACGTAAAACTGAAAAACAATAGTCCTCCTCTTCTACAATGTTAGTTTCCTTATTTCACATATAAATAATTTTAATTAAGTTATATCCGCTTTCCTTAAAAACAAATGTCATCTTAGCTAAATATATTTGGCAAAAATAAACGTTGCTTTGGGAAATTAAAAATAACAGAAGTCTGTTTTTTCAAATCTATTTTCGATCTAATAAATTATCTACAGAATATAATGAGTAATTTGACTATGATTTAAAGCATAAATTAATCAAACAAATCGTATAATAAATGTTTTATATGATTTCCTTAATGAGCATACAAAAAATTTAAAAAGATATCTATTTTAGATATGAAGTAAAAGTTGGGACCAATAAAATTATAATTTTTTAATGACTTTAGGTGTTTTAAGAATAACTTTAGTATCCTTTGGAGATGAACCCGATCTAAACTCTACCATACACATCTTTATGGCACTAATATTTAGGTAATGAGTAGTATTATTGGGCTCATGCACAGCATGGGCTATCCCTTACTTGTATTCAACACAATTTCCATTGATCTACTTCATTCATTGGATGCAATATTTCAACATTGGTATATGCTTAGTTTAATCACCATTCAAAGGCTATTTTTACAAAACAGGAAACCACAAAGGCATATTATCATAGCAAAAATTAGTGCCTTCGTTATATCAAATTGTACAAGACTTAATATGCTTTCTGCCGCTGATTGTAAAGATTGCCAAACGGGAAAGCCATGAAAATGAACTAAGAAAGCAAAAATTTGATTTTCCATTCAACATAGCTGGAAATGGACGAGTACAAAGGAATATAAAGAAAGGCAGAATCAACTTCATAACAAACTAGACACGTGACTGATATTTACGCTTCTACCTTCAGGAACTCAACAACAAATAACTAAGGACTCAATTTGACAATAAGTAAACTGATGACCTAAGAATTGTTTGTAATTAATTAGACCTCAGAGACTAAACTCTAAAGACAAGTACTTATCTCCAAAACCACAATATGTCTTCACCTTTACACTGATCTTATAAACAATTTTTTACTAGGATTCTCTTTACGTCCCAATGCTTTAGGGACATACTACAAGATTATCACTTCATCCAAGTAGGATTCCTCGAGTCCCTGGTACTGCCCAGCTCAATTAGCGCTTGGCCAAAAAAGAAATGAAATCAGAGCAAGACTGCTGCCTTGACATCAATACCCGCAGACCATACAGTTTACTTAGTTAAACTGAGAAGCGATAACTAGTATGTGATCCGTTGACAACATAGACTTCAGAAGAAGCAAAGAAACACCAGCAAGTTTAAAGCACTTCTTTTAAAAACAAAATATGATAAATCCAACCCAGAAAGCCCTCCTGCTCAGGATATTTGGTCCTTTTCCACTTTATCCCATGAGTGACTCAAACTCCCACCCTCTTGGTTGAAAGTAAGTGCTCTAACCATTAGAGCAACCTCACTCAATAACATAGAAACACAGAAAGTTGCATCTGATTTGCATGCTCCAAAAGTCTTCTTCTGTTCATCTAAAACACACATACATTATATTTAAGATCTGTGGTTTGAATTAAAAACATGATCTTTGTTGCATAGTGAGCCATGACAAATATATTTGGTTTACTTGGGCGGAGTGGGTTATGACATGCCTCTCAGCCCTTTCTAAATCAAACCATCTTGACCCAAGCAAACTTCGGGTGGCTTGGACTTTAACCCAACCTGCTTATTTGACACCTCTAATTAAAGTAAAAGATCAGAATTTCACTCTTGTTACAATGGTAACTCAACCATGTCCGTTTTTATCATTTTGAGCTTTATTTACTACTCCTCAATTCTTATTATTTTCCCAGTCTAACTAGGATCAGCCATAACTGAAAGAGCGTGAAAAAAAAGAGGCCTAATAGTTGTGCCATACCTCATCCATTGCATCAGAAACTAATGGCTGGGAACATAATAAATCCCCGAGTATTAAATTGGTAGAGGCTCTCTTTTAAGTACTCCTCCCATTTCCATCCTCCAAGATTGATCTACCAAAGATGCTAACTCTCTGTAGATCACCATCAATGCAGCTATTAGAGAAGAACCAAATTTTCAAATAGAATAGGAACATCAGATACAGATATATCATTTTCACTGCCAGCTAATGTGTGGTAAAAATTACTCAAGAACCACGATGAATTGCAAGAAAAAAAGGAGTATCAGAAACAAAATGATGATATATTGTCTTCCAATTAAATACGATTGTGTGAATATGCTCAAGTTGAGAGTTGAATGCAATTCTAACTCACCTATGAAAAATAGTGGCCACTGCTAGTTTTTGTATCCTTCAAGGAAAGCAGTAAAAAATATAGCAGGCCAGCAAGTTATGGATTGAGGCACAATAGATTGATTGATCTTTAACTCGGAAATTGTTGATTGTGCTAAGTGTACCTTATATTGTCTTACCCTTCTATTTCAAATTGATTGTATTGGTTTTCCTTTTTATCTTTGATAAGATTTCATCTCTTATTGCAAACAATTTAAAAGTTGATAGACACTACTCTTATGCTTTCAACATCTGAAGAATTGATCTGTTGTTTGGCTGCTTGACGTACAAACAAATTCTTATACGAACTCTAAAAAATGTTATCAATAAAATATAAAGTCAGTGATTATATATAAAAATGCTAGAAGGAAACAAGATATGCAATTTGAAATGAAGAGAGTAAAAATTATGTGAAAATTTCAAACAAAGACAGATGGAAACTACCTTCAAACAAAGACGGATGGAAAATTGTACCTGCAACTATTTGGTGGACAGTTTGGAAGGAGAGGAATTCAAGATGCTTTGAGGATACAATTAGCCCTACTCAGAAAATTAAGATGAACTGTATTCTTCTCTTTTGTTTTTGGTGTACAGCAGAATTATTGATTATTAGAGTCAATTCTACAAGTCCTAGACTCCTTGTAAAAGAGCAAGGATTATAATTTTGAGCCTTGTAGGTTCTTGTAAACTTTATTTTAGGCTCCCAGCACAAGCTTTGTGCTGAAGATTTATTAATATACAGATGCACCGATGAGGAAGTGTGAGAGGCTGGCGTTGGAGGGCCAACGGAGAGGTAAAGGCAGGCCGAACAAGTATTGGGGAGAGATGATTAGGCAAGATATGGCGTTGCTCCAGCTTACTGAGGATATGATCATGGATAGGAAGGCGTGGAGGTTGAGAATAAAGGTAAAGGGTTAGGCAGCCGAATGTTCCCTGGTTTGTAACAATAGTTTTGATACACCACTTAGTGTCTTTCGTGTATTTTCGTATCCCTAGACTTCTGTTATTACTTGTTGCTGCCTTGTTTCGGTTTCTTGATTGTATTACCTAGTGTTAGTTTTGTATTTTCACTTTGGTTGTCTGATTGATTTGCTTATTATTGCCCCTTCCCCTCCTTCCTGAGCCGAGGGTCTACCGGAAACAGCCTCTCTGCCTCCTTAAAGGCGGGGTGGTTAAGGTCTGCGTACACTCTACTCTCCACAGACACCATTTGTGGGACTACACTGGGTATATTGTTGTTAATGGTAACTTCGAGTGAACGTAGACCTCTAGCATGGTGATTCATTTCCAATAAAATAACATATGTAAACAAAAATATCAAATGGACCAAATCAAGAACTTACTTGAGGTCATGGCTGACAACAAGTAAAGTTAGCTCCTTCTTTAGATGCTTTAACAATTTTGCCACATCTGCACGAGCCTTCCAATCTGATTTCCCTCATATAATATAAACTTTTTCAGACACCGGAGTTAGCCACTCAAATATAATTTAAAGTTAGGACCAAAAATACAAAAATAAGGTATCCATTTAATAACTTCCAAGGTCTACAGTAATTCAAACAGAACTTATTTATAGTTAAAAGCAAGTGATTCATTAAGCAAAAACAGGCCGACGATAGCAATCACATCAAACGAAAGAGATCCATACAATTAAGTTTTCCAATCTCTATGGAAATAACGTCACTCCATATAACAATCCTCCCACTCTGCACCACAAGCAAGCTTCATACCATTTTATCCAACATGCTACCCGAACTGAGGTACGATCGTCTGGCAAGCTCTTGAACTCCTCTTGCACCACCCATACCAAATAATTACAAATACAATAGATTTCCAGAGTACCTCTTGTAATCATATTAGCAAAAGCAAATATGAGAGCTGGTATGCAGATAGTAGCAAGAGAGTTTAAAATAAGCAATCTTTCTTCACATCGATATTACCATTTGGAGAATAAGAACACATAACCCAACAAGGAATTCTAAGCTTCTACTTAAGAAAAAAAATGCTTTTCATTGAAGCCGAAGAAGAGCTCCTCTAAAATAAATGTAGAGATACCACCTGGTTGCCATTAGTTTTTGGAGAATTAGAGAATGCAACCTAAGATAGAACCTTAATGTTCTATGGCAGAAAGATTTAAAATAATTTCTAAGTTCTTCATAAAGTAAAAGCAAGTAATATCCATGATTTTTTTTTTAGATTACTAAAGCTAATTACTCATCCTATTTTTACTTGTTTATCATTATTAAATTTCAAGTATATAGGACTTGTTTACTAGTAAGAGTTTAAAATCTTGATGCTTTAGACAATTTTTAACAACCATAGTGGGAAGAAAGATTGCTCTTCAAAATTATCCAATGTAAAATCCTTGTGCAGGCATCTCAATTCCTACTGTATCCTTAAAAATTTAACCTAGAAATCTCACCTATTCCTGTTCTGTTAAACCAGCACTTTTATTACCCAAGAAAATCACAAATGAATAATATTCAGTCAGGGAAAAACATAAAAATGGGGGGAAAAAGTAGTCCAAAAAATAAAATGAAATAGATCACAGAAAGCTTCTTCGTACCAAGACCAGCAAGAGGCTCATCCAATATTAATAAATCTGGTGTTTGAACCTGTGTAAAGACAAAAATACATTAACAGACAGATGATCATCCCAGATATCAACAATATTTTGTTACAAATAGGTATATGCATGTTCATAAGAATGCACTTAAAACAGCAGGCAAGCATTCTTGTTTTTCATAGGTGAGAAATCCTTACTAACTGAATAGCAAGGGCAAGCCGACGTTTGTAGCCACCACTTAATGAATGGGGATCCTTATCCAAAGATATTCCTGTTAAACCAACCTAGAAGTTGTCAACCACATAAACACCTGTCAAAATTTGCTGAAATGCAGGCAAACTTTTCTCCTTTGGAAGACAGAATTAAACAAAAATTTAAAAATCGCACTAAAGGAATATGTACCGAGGTAATGGCCTTTTGAAGTCTCAAAGCAAGAATCTCTCTTAATTGAAGGCCACCCTTTTGTCTTGGCCACCCAAATGTAACTTCATCAAGAACAGTATCAGCAACAAAGTATCTGTAAGACAGTGAAACAGACACAATCAAGTTGAATAAACTGCTATTGGAACCAAAAAGAACTGTTTAAACTTTATGTACATACCTAACCATGCAATACTCACTTTACCAATATGCATGTAAATAGACAAATCTATATACTTATGTACATAATACCAGAATTGAAGAGTAACGTAGTAGTGCTTAGATAATTGCATTGCTAACTGGATGGGTTTTGTTGTCTTCTCAATAACAACAGCAAATGAAAATGCATTATTTTAATATGAACCTAGTCATGAAAATCGCATTGTATCACAAAGAACATCCTGACAGTGCATGAAACACCACCAACCAAAAAAAGAGTACCTCTCAGGAAACTGGAAAACAATGCCAACTCTTTCTGGTTGTAAGAGTTCAGGAGACTTAATCTTTTCACCATCATCACTATATCGCTGCACATATATGGAACCTGATGTTGGTTTGCTTAACCCTGCAAGCAGCTGCATGGAGAAGGTCAAAGATAAAAAGCAGCCTGAACAAAGTACCCTTCGGTGGTTGGACAAGAGGAAAGCTAAAATGAATTTGAATAGAAAAGACAAAATCAAAAGGAAGACCTGCAATAAAGTAGTTTTCCCACTGCCACTCCGTCCAAATATCAAGCCAAAACTACAAAAGATCTATGTCAAATCCTCTCATCCACACAGAGCCTCTTTAAAATGCATATCAGTATTTCATACCCTAGTTGATCTCCAGTGACACTGTTCCATATACCACTTCATATGTTTTTTACATATCTTACTGAACAGCTAAAACATTTGAAAATCTTATGAAATGCTGGATTTCTGATATCATGTGTGCTTCCATCCAATAAATATCTCGTTAGCTCTAAACCAGGATCAGCTTACAAGATGACAAAGCACATTTGCAACAGTAATGGAATGTAGTGCGTTTGAAGTATAGCAACACAGACTGTACCTTTTCTCAGGGATGGAAAGATTGACTTGACTCAATAGGTTGATCTTGGTCCCTGGAGGCCGATAAGACACATCCCTTATCTCCAAAAACCCATAAAAAAAGAGAAGGGTCGAACATCTATTATTAGCTCCTCCATAATACAACCGCAATATGTTAACTAATCTCTGGACAACCAAAATAGATCAATTAAAAATAGAAATATTAATTCAAGTTCAGCATGCTTCATCCCTTGTTAATTAAGATGGCACTAGAGTTATTTGGAATACCGTGTTTCTAATACTTATAAACCCCTAGGAGTCTACAAACAACAACTACTAGTACGCCTCAATCCCAAACAAGTTCGGATTGGTTATATCAATCCTGACTGACCATGTTTCTCTGATTAAAATTATCTCAGGCCGACATTATACAAAATTAAAATAAAAGTGAAAATTAAACCACTAGGAGTATAAGATGCTTAAGAAGAAATATCACTGAAAAAATCATTGGGAATTCAATAAAAAGTTGCGGAATGACTTGTTGGTTTAAATGGTGTATACGCTAGAGAATAAGGTCCACCCACCTAAGTAACATAACATTTTTCGCCGCCAACACATAAAAGGAAAAGGAAGCCTGCTATACATCTAAATACCAAATATGGGAAGCAAAACAATGTTAAAGAACTCTGCAGGAATTAATTATCCTAAGACTATGAAAAGATATAGGAGCAAATAATACAAAATTTATCATTCAGGAAAAGAAATAAAAGAAGAGAGCTTTACTTCGAAACAGGAGTAATCGCAGGAAACGGAGAGTGCTTGCCCCTTTCTGAAATAGAAATGAGAAAGTTAAACTTCCAAATGTAAAATTATATGGCAAGAATCGGAGAAAAACGAAGGAAGAAGGAACAAGACTTGCCTTAAGCGCCTGTGAGGATAAAAAATCGTGGATGATGGTCTTCCCGAAACGGAGGAGGAGCTGGAAATCAGTAGACACGACGACGACGAGGGCAGTGGAAAGCTTTCCATCTTTCTTCTGATTTCTGGAGCTATGGAACCGAATATAATCTAGTGAGAAGTGCACAAATAGCCACTATTTAAAATATAATCGAAATTTATATAAATTATTAACCAATTTAGCCTATTCAGAGTTAAATTTCAGACCTCGAGGATAATGTTTTAAATCTCGGATCTGAAGCTTCAAAACTACCAAAGCCTAACTTCCGCCTTCAGGTATGAAATAGAAGAAGCAGACTGCGCTAGCTGCTCCAATAAAAAGGTTATAGCATTTACTCTATTTGACTATACTTTAAACACATTATAAACATTGACTATAGTTTAAGTAGCTTGTCTAAGCGGCTACTTGCTGCTATTTTTTTCTTTTTTTCTTTTTTTCTTTTTTGTTAACTATCCACTTTCATTAATTATCAAGTAAAATATTTACAAATCCAGCTAAACTTTATAGCTCAGTCTGCTAATCAGATATATAAAACAAAGAAATTTAATGATTGTGACGAGCATGTATACACTAGCTAGGAAATCTATAATTCTGAAGAGACATCCTAATATGTCATTAGCTCTAACATGGCAAGTATAAGCTATTTCTCTAGCTATAACATTACTTGAACTCTCTTTTTTGTACTAAAATTCTGCTATTCCTCTTAGTCCATATTGCATAAATGAACTCCGTATAGACGATCTTCACATTTCTTGCTTGGTTTGCCTTTCCTCTTGTATTTTGCTCTGCCCAGTTTTGCATTTGGTTCCATTATTTCATGGTTGGCCAAGCAATTTGCAACCAAGTCATTTGTATGTCCCACACTCGTCTATTAACTTCACATTCAGCAAATAGGTGATCTATGTACTCCTCTGACAATCTGCACATTACACGCCTTGTATCTATTTGCATTCCCCAGTTTTTCAACTTTGTTGTTGTGAGTAGTCTGTCTTGAAGTTGGAGCCATGCTATGAAAAATGTTTCTGGCCTTGTTGCATTCACACACATTAGGTTCTTTCAGGTAAGTTTTGGTAGATCCCCAAGCATTTTCAGGTAGATACTGCATCATGCTCTTGCTGCCATGTGAACCATGCTCCACATTACCCAACTCCTCTCTTGCCTTAAGTATTTTCCTAACCACCCAGCTTGCTTGCTGGAGGATAGGCATACTCTCTAGTTGCTTCTCCTTTATGTAATACTCATGTTTCCATTTGATCCATAAAGTGTCTTTCTTACTATGCAATTCCCAGCATGTTTTTGTTATGGCTGCTTTGTTCCAAATCTTCAAATATGTGAGATCTATCCCTCAAGCAGATTTTGGCAAACACATTTTACTCCAGGAATACCAATGATTTCCTGGTGATTTCATTTGCTCCAAATCAAATAAAGCTTCTGCAGTAGGCTTCTATGGCCTTCATCACCTTAACAGGTATTATGAACATCTGTGCGCAGTAAGATTGGATTCCAAATAGTGCCGATTTCACCAATTGAACTCTGCCAGCATATGACAACTTTTTTGCTACCCATGGAGACACCCTTGATGTTGTCACGACCCAATTCCACTACAGGTCGTGATGGCGTCGGACACCGTTGTCAGGCAAGCCAACTAAATTATCAATTAAATTCTCTTTTAATACCTTTGAAAATCTAAGAGTTTTCCTTCCATTTTTCATATATAAAACAATCTCTGTTTCAATTCAAATTAAGAAATAACTATTAACACACAACTTTCGGAAAACCATCCCAGAACCCGGTGTCACAAGTGCATGAGCAACTACTGATGAGGAAAATAAATTACATTGTCTGTCCGAAATACAGTGGACAGGAAATAAATAAATAAGTACTGGAAGGGAACTACACTAGCTGCGGGTCGCCTCGAACAATGCAGCTCACCTAGTCCCCAAATCATCCGTGCTGCTATCTAATGTAAAATATACCTGTGCAAAAAAAATGCACAGAAGTGTGGTATGAGTACGTAATCAACGTGTACTCAGTGAGTATCCCGCCTAACCCCGAAGAGGTAGAGACGAGATGGTCAACCTGGACACTCACTAGCGGTCCAATAATAATATACTAAATGTGTGAGGAAATTATGGATTCATATAGCATGTTCTAATTCACGAAGCTGTAAAACAGGTAAACACCTTTTAACAATTAACAAGGGATTTTCAAGATTTTACTTTTCTTCATTTAATCAGTTCATCTCAAGCCATGAAAGGCAATGTCATCATTTAAGATTTCTCATGCATCAATATATAAAAGATATCATGCGCAAATCATACCGAGGCGACGGCCCGATCCAACAGAAAGTAAATGTGCACTTGCCGAGGGTCGACGGCGCACCTATAGATGCATCTATTTCCCGCTCGGGAATTAATCATGCGACGCGGTCAACATAAAATAAACACATACCCTGCTCGAGAATCATACATGCGACGCAGGTACATATAGAGATACATGCTCAATCAATCAAGTAAGAACTTATCAGGGAGTGTTTATCATAATATATCCAACTCTCTTTTAACAAATTTTAAGAAGTAAGGTTAAATCCCTTTAGAAATTCATTTACAAATTCCATGTGATATAAGCAATTTAAACTATCAAAGAGTTTACAAATAATCCAAGTATTCATGCTATTGGGTCCTAGCTACCCGGACAATAGCATAATAGTAGCTACGCACGGACTGTCGTCACCTCGTGCGTACGTAGCCCCCACAAATAGGAGCACATAACCAATTAATTCACCTATGGGGATATTTTCCCCTCACAAGGTTAGAAAGGAGACTCACCTCGCTCCGAAGACTCATAACCCGCATTCTCCGTTCTTCTGAAGGCTTGAACCGACGCACATTGCACCAAAACTAGCCAATTAACGACAAACTAATGAGAACATGCTCAAATACTCGTTAACAATTCAAATTATGCAAATTCCCAACTCCGCTTAGTGAAATGACCAAAATGCCCTCGGGCCCACGTGTCCGGAATCCGAAATTTTTCGAAGATAAAGCTTACCCATGGCTTTACTAGCTCAAATATACAATTTACTCCTAATTCCATGCTCAAATTCGTGGCTAAATTCCAATTTATAAATTCTAGGTTTTCATCTAAAAACACCAATTTCCCCACAATTTTCATGCCTAAATCCATGATATAATCTTGTATTTAACTTGGAAATGAGTAGGAGTAACTTACCTTGACATAGATGACGAAATCCCCCTTTGAAGCTCTCTAAAAATCGCCAAATGAAGTGAAGAAAATGGGTGAAATAAACAAAAGCCGACTTTAAAACAACCCTTTTGCCATCAGCGATTTTCGCACCTGCGGTGCATTTTCCGCTTCTACGGATGTCACTTCTGCGACTTTTGGCCGCTTCTGCGGCTTTGGGCAAGGGGGAGCTTGGCCGCTTCTGCGGTCTGGGGGCCGCTTAAGCGGAACCGCTTCTGCGGTCCCTGGGCCGCTTCTACGGTTACCTTGGGCCTGGCCCCTTCCACTTCTGCGAGATTTCGACCGCATCTGCGGTCCCGCTTCTGCAGTCCAAGAACCGCAGATGCGGTTATGACAGAAGCAGCAACCTCAAGTCTTCCAAATTCCATTTTTTTGATCCGTTAACCACCCGGAATCCACCCGAGGCCCCCGGGACCCCAACCAATCATACCAACCAATACCAAAACACATTACGGACTTGCTCGAGGCCTCAAATCACATCAAACAACGCTAAAATCATGAATCAACCCCCAATCCAAGCTTTATGAACTTTAGAACTTCCAACTTCTACTTTCGATGCTTAAACCTGTCAAATCATGTCCGATTGACCTCAAATTTTGCACACAAGTCATATTTGACATTACGGACCTACTGCAACTTCCGGAATCGGATTCCGACCCCGATATCAAAAAGTCAACCTCCGATCAAACTTCTTAAAAACCTTCAAATTTCTATCCTTAGCCAAATGGCTCCAAAATGTCCTACGGACCTCCGAATTCAGTTCCGATCGCGCCCCCAACTCCAGAATCACCATACGGAGCTATTCACAGTCTCGGAACCCCAAACGGACATCGATAATACTGAAATGCCCTTCAAGCCAAACTTATGAAATTTCTTCTAAAATGCTAACTTCCACAATAGGCGCCAAAATACTGTCGGGCTATCCAAAACCCGAACCGGGCATACGCCCAAGTTCGAAATTATCATACGAACCTGCTGGAACCTTCGGATCCTGAGTCCGAGGTCGTTTACTCAAAATTCCAATCCTAGTTCATTCTTTCAACTTTAAGCTTCTGAAATGAGAATTCTCTTTCTAAATCAACTTGAACTATTTGAAACTCAATTCCGACCACGCCTACAAGTCATAATACCCGAAATGAAGCTGTTCATGGCCTCCGACTGCTGAACGGAGCGCTAGGACTCAAAACGACCGGTCGGGTCATTACAAATGTGATCTTGGTAATTAAGGGTTTCCATTCAACTAATTTCAATTTTCTTGTAGCCAATGGGATCTTTAGGTACCTAAATAGTAGTTCCTTTTGACCATATCCTAATAACTACCGGATATCATGTTTGATAGGTTTTGAGACACCACCAAAATATATAGCACTTTTGGACAAGTTAGCTTGCAAGTTTGAGGTAGCTGTGAAGATACCAAATTTCTCAAGCTGTAGACCTACAGAAGATACATTTCCCTTGGAAAACATTAGCAAGTCATCTGCAAAGATCAAATGTATGATATTCATTTTAGAGCATTTAAGATGGTATTTGAAGTGTTTTTCCTCCCTCAATTCACTAAGATTTCTGCTTAAATACTCCATGAATATAGCAAACAAAAAAGGTGACATTAGGCCCCCTTGTCTGAGCGCTCTTGCAACATCAAATGGTTTAGTTGGCTCTCCATTTATTATTATGGAGTAGTTGACTGTTGTAACACATTCCATCAACCATCTAACAAATTTTTGAGGTAATTGTAGCTCTTCCAGCTGTTGGCCCAAGTAAAGGTTAGTTTTGAAGACTGACAAAGGAACTCAGACATGAACCAGGTCCATCCACTGGTCCATCCCTCAGGTTCACAAAAACGGGCAAATTCAAGCATGTGGGATGCACGTGAAGGAGATAAGCATAATTTGGTGTATTTAATATCTCCTGATCGAAAAGGTTGCATAATTGATAAGGAGAAGGAGTCCTTAATCAAAGAGAACACAATTCAAGATAGGGAAGGAGTTAGAAGTTGAAATCAACTAGAACTCTTCCACCAAGGAAGAGTTGCATCAGAACTCTAGTTATTTCTACATCTACTAACT